TTGGATGCCCGGAGCCAACTGTAGGCCACTTCGTGCTCTTCGAGTTCCCAGAACTCCATTCCCGGGCCACATTTTGGATGCCCGGAGCCAACTGTAGGCCACTTCGTGCTCTTCGAGTTTCCCAGAACTCCATTCCCGGGCCACATTTTGGATGCCCGGAGCCAACTGTAGGCCACTTCGTGCTCTTGGAGTTCCCAGAACTCCATTCCTGGGTATGATTTTGAATGCCCGGAGCCAACTGTAGGCCACTTCGTGTTTTTCGAGTTCCCAGAATTCCATTCCCTGGGCCACATTTTGAATGCTGAGGCAGGCTGATGCTGAGGCTGAGGCAGGCTGAGGCTGAGGCAGGCTGAGGCTGAGGCCGAGGCTGAAGGCAGACTGAGGCTGAGGCTGAAGCAGGCTGAGGCTGAGGCTGAGGCTGAGGCTGATGCAGGCTGAGGGCAGGCTGAGGCTGAGGCTGAGGCTGATGCAGGCTGAGGCTGAGGCAGGCTGAGGCTGAGGCCGAGGCTGAAGGCAGATGAGGCTGAGGCTGAAGCAGGCTGAGGCTGAGGCTGAGGCAGGCTGAGGCTGAGGCTGAGGCAGGCTGATGCTGAGGCAGGCTGAGGCTGAGGCTGATGCAGGCTGAGGCTGAGGCAGGCTGAGGCGAGGCCGAGGCTGAAGGCAGACTGAGGCTGAGGCTGAAGCAGGCTGAGGCTGAGGCTGAGGCAGGCTGAGGCTGAGGCTGAGGCAGGCTGAGGCTGAGGCTGAGGCTGAGGCAGGCTGAGGCTGAGGCTGAGGCTGCAGGCTGAGGCAGACTGAGGCTGAGGCTGAAGCAGATGAGGCTGAGGCTGAGGCAGGCTGAGGCTGAGGCTGAGGCAGCTGATGCTGAGGCAGGCTGAGGCTGAGGCTGAGGCTGATGCAGGCTGAGGCTGAGGCAGCCTGAGGCTGAGGCCGAGGCTGAAGGCAGACTGAGGCTGAGGCTGAAGCAGGCTGAGGCTGAGGCTGAGGCAGGCTGAGGCTGAGGCTGAGGCAGGCTGATGCTGAGGCAGGCTGAGGCTGAGGCTGAGGCTGATGCAGGCTGAGGCTGAGGCAGGCTGAGGCTGAGGCCGAGGCTGAAGGCAGACTGAGGCTGAGGCTGAAGCAGGCTGAGGCTGAGGCTGAGGCAGGCTGAGGCTGAGGCTGAGGCAGGCTGAGGCTGAGGCTGAGGCTGATGCAGGCTGAGGCTGAGCAGGCCGAGGCTGAGGCCGAGGCTGAAGGCAGACTGAGGCTGAGGCTGAAGCAGGCTGAGGCTGAGGCTGAGGCTGAGGCTGAGGCTGAGGCTGAGGCTGGCTGAGCTGAGGCAGGCTGAGGCTGAGGCTGAGGCTGATGCAGGCTGAGGCTGAGGCAGGCTGAGGCTGAGGCCGAGGCTCAAGGCAGACTGAGGCTGAGGCTGAAGCAGGCTGAGGCTGAGGCTGAGGCAGGCTGAGGCTGAGGCTGAGGCAGGCTGATGCTGAGGCAGGCTGAGGCTGAGGCTGAGGCTGATGATGCAGGCTGAGGCTGAGGCAGGCTGAGGCTGAGGCCGAGGCTGAAGGCAGACTGAGGCTGAGGCTGAAGCAGGCTGAGGCTGAGGCTGAGGCAGGCTGAGGCTGAGGCTGAGGCAGGCTGATGCTGAGGCAGGCTGAGGCTGAGGCTGAGGCTGATGCAGGCTGAGGCTGAGGCAGGCTGAGGCTGAGGCCGAGGCTGAAGGCAGACTGAGGCTGAGGCTGAAGCAGGCTGAGGCTGAGGCAGGCTGAGGCTGAGGCTGAGGCTGAGGCTGATGCTGAGGCAGGCTGAGGCTGAGGCTGAGGCTGAGGCTGAGGGCTCAGGCTGAGGCAGGCTGAGGCTGAGGCCGAGGCTGCAGGCAGACTGAGGCTGATGCAGGAGCAGGCTGAGGCTGAGGCTGAGGCAGGCTGAAGCTGAGGCTGAGGCTGATGCCTGAGGCTGAGGCTGAGGCTAATGCAGGCCACTGGGACTGTCATCGCGAATGCGACTACGACTGCGAGAACAGCAGAATTCTACAACTGGATTCTCATCTGAATCTTAAGGGGGATGCTTCCAGACATGCTCCTACACATCGCTGTTAGGTTGCTTTGCCGGGATAATTTGTTTTTATATATATACACACATATAACGGGGGACCGGGTCTGGGGGCCGGGGGCCGGGACCCCGACCACAAATGTGGGGCCCGGGCCTAAGAAGCCCCAAAGAGGCTCCAAGAGGCCCCAAGACGGTAACCAAAAGATTTCAACACTCTTTCTAAGAGGCCCCCGAAGACATGCCAAGAAAGTTCCACGACGACTTCAAGAAGCAGTCCAGGATGCTCCGAGGAGGCCCCAAGAAGCTAGCTAGAACTTGAGCGCGCGCGAAGCGCGAGCGATGGTTCTGAAAGAGTTTTGAAGCCTTTTGGGTGCCGTCTTGGGGCCCCATGGAGCCTCTTTTGGGCTTCTTGGGGGCCTCTTGGGGCCTCTTGGGGGCCTCTTGAGGCCTCTTGGGGGCCTCTTGGGGCCTCTTGGGGGCTTCCTGGGGGCATCTTGGGGCCTCTTGGGGGCATCCGGGGGCGGAGAGCTTGAGTTTTCAGTTCGCGTTGCCTCTCTTGGGCCCCTCTTGGAGCCTTCTTGGGACCCTCTTGCGCCGTCTTGGGCGGCTCTGGGGCTGTCTCGGGGCTCTCTCGGGCCGTCTTGGGGCCCTTGGGGGCCTCTTGGGCCGTCTTGGAGCGGTTTGGGGAGCCTCTTGGGCGGTGCTTCAGCGCCCGAAACACGAAACAGCGAGAATGCACACAAACATTGACAAAAAACAATGAAAATCACAGACTTTGCCCCTCTCGGGATGCTCTTCGGCGGCATCTTAAAGGCCTCTTGGGGCGTCTTGGGGGCCTCCTGGGGCAATTTAAACGCATCGTGCGTCGACGGAGACCCCTGGACGTCGTCTTGGGAGTGTCTCGAGACCGCCTTGGGCCGCCGAGATTGCTGTCTGAGGGCTCCCCGGGGCGATTTCCGAGAGGGAGGGTGGGGTTCTTTTCGGCTCGGGAGCTCCCGAGCGAAGTGAACCCCACCCTCCCCCTCTGAAATCGTGGGGGGTAGGGACAGGAAGCGCAGTCCTCGTCCGCCCCTCCCGCCAGCCGGATACGCGTACAGCCAAGGCGGTGAAATAATTGCGGCTTCGGGTTCGGAAGGGGCTCGCTGCTCCTCAGGTCATGCCGTGGTTGTTCCTCTAGCTTTCCTCCTTAGCCCAGGCCCTCTTGTTGCCAAGTACGGGCATTGTCCCTCAGGTTATGCCGAGGTTGCTCCTCTAGCCTTGGAGCCGTCTGGGGGCTCTGGTTCTGGTCAGCAGAAGTTTTTTTTTATTGTGTTATATATATATATATATATATATATATATAATATATATATATATATCTCTCTCTCTCTCTCTCTCTTCTTTTCGGCCTCCGGGGGCCGCTTTCGGGTCCGGGGACCGAGAAAAACTTCTCCAGGGTGAAAAGCTGCACCAGATGGGGATCAGGGGACAGATTTTGAGCGGATGTGCCCTTATCCCCCCCTTCCTGACTGATTCCTCGGGGCCCATCCAGTTCAGACTTCCCGGCAGACTCCCACTAGCTCTCCTCGTTCACACAGTTTTGGTCGGCGGGTCGGGAGCGGACCCCTTCCGGTTAAGAGCCAGGCGGGGCGCGCGAAGCACTAATTGGGGAGACAGGGCGCGGCCGGGCGGGGCCTCAGGCGGCCGGAAGGTGCGGAGTACAGGCGGTGCCGAGGATCTTGCGCAGGAAAAGGTACGCCATGTACAGGAGCCGGGGGCGAAGTCCCGGAAGGAGAGTGAATTGGTGTTGCCGTCAACGGCGCGCCAGGAACACCATCCTCGAGTGCTGCGTGGGGAGGGCCGTGACCATGTCAACGTCAGTGAGGTAGAGGAAGACCAGGTAGGCGAAGTGCACCAGATGCCACCGACTGGTAAGCAGAGGCCCAGGCGACGAGGACCACGAAGTCGATGTGCAACGTTGTGCCACCGGGTGGTCAGCTCCTTGTTCACACAGGCTGTTTTGGTACCAAAAAGGAGCTTCGTTCGTCATTTGGCGTTCCTTATTTCAGCAGGCGGCCTGTGAGAACGAGGGGGGCGACGCGAGGGGGGTGGCGTTCTAAGAAGTCTGGGGGGCTTCTCAGAAGTCGAGGAGACGGGAACAGGAATGAAGGCACGCGGATTAGCGACGGGCCCCGTTTCCATACGAAATCGGCACACTCTTTCGCCGAATGAGGCCGCGCTGGTCTCATGTTTCGGGAGTGCCTTCCTGTTCGATGGATCTGGCGCTCACGCGCCAGATCCACGGTTCCCTAGTCCATGGGCGCGCCCGAAAAAGGTTGAGGGTTTTTTTGAAGCCTCCTTAGAAGCCATCCCGGCCCCTGAGAAGCCTTCCTAGGAGCCTCCAGGGCCTGTGAGAAGCCCCCCGCCTTCTGCGAAGCACCCCGCCTTCTTAGAAGGCTCGCGCCAACCCCTTGTGCGCGCCGCCAAGTAAGAGTGAGCCTGCGCCGGAGTGACATTTTCTGGCTTTCGCGGGGCGCCCGGGGATCCAGGGTTAAACACGGAGTTGCTATGCCAGATATTTTTTTGTTGGTTTGCGATGTGCGGCCCAGGAGTTCCCGATCCCTTCCCTGGGGGCAGTTTTGCGTTCCGGATCCGTTTTTGTTGGTCCTGGGGACCCCCAGAGGCCGAACGCGAGGAACTCCGCCAGGATTGGAATCAAATCAGATCGTCGGAGATTTGACAGTGTTGCAGCGCACGCCACGACTGGCAAGACACGCCCGTCGTTGAGAGTAGGTATATTTGGATACCAAAATCCCAATGTATATTCGGCGCCTTCCTACCTCAAGAGTCGAGTGGTCTTCCTCTTCTCTCCTCTTCACGGGGCGGGCGGAAACCCAATCTACCTTCGACGCCTTTTCTGCCCCATGTTTCTACCAACCTCGTCCGACTGGCGGGTATATGGCCGCTCAAGCGCGTGGCCGCCGCAGGGCCGCGTTCTGGGAGCACGTGGCCTCGCTCTACGCGGCCGCGGGGCACCCCGCAGAGGAGTGCGACCTGCTGTGGCAGGCCCCCCCCCTTCCCGGCGGGCCCGGGGGCACCTCGCGGGCGCCCGCCGCCGCCCGAGCGGCGCGTGCTCGCTGCCCGAGCTCGAGCTCGAGCTCGGCCTCTGGGCCGGGCCGCCGGGCCAGGTCGGGGGCAGCGACAGAGGGGCTCAGGGGACGGAGGTCGATGCAGGGGGGGGTCGGCCAGGGCCCTGGATCAGGGGTGGTCCAGGGCCCCGGACGTTCTGGCCAGGACTTCGAGGAGCAATTGCCCGAGGCATCGAGGCTTGCCAGCGAGGCCCCCGAGAACGCAAAGTACGGTAGGTTCGTGTCGTGTCGACCGGCGTTGACCCCGCCAGCGGCGTTCAATTTTGAACGCCGCGGGCGACCCAGAATCGTTCGATGTGGAACGATTTGGACGTTTCGGAAACGGCCGATCGTTCAAGGTTGAACCACCTACGGGGTCGACACGACGCGAACCTGCTGTGTGAATTTCCTTCGCCGCGCCATCATCGAGGACGTCCACTTTCGCAGGCCTAGAGGTTTGTAACAGGAGAGCAGATTTCACGACATAGGTTTTGCATTTAGTTTATCACTCCAGAGCGTCTCTCGTAACTTGACATTTTGGCTCAAGGGAAAAGCATCTGCGTGCGCTTGCTGCTGCCACAGTTGGTAGCGGAGCCTGGTCCAGCCGGTGAGCCATGGGCGGTGACGACCGACCGTGAAGGTCGAGGTCGGTCACCGTTCGCGCGCCTCCGGCAGGCCGGGCTCGCGCCGACGGGCGGCGCGGACTGCGGGATGTCCGCAGAGGAGTTCACGGCGGCGGTGATCCCAGCCATCGGCGAGGAGGGCGTGCGAGGCACGCCGGGAGCTGAAGCTGGAGCGGTCACCCTCTCTACGGAGCAGTTGAAGCAGATCGTGGCAGGAGTCGCGCGAGAGACCATGGCCGAGGCCGCAGCCAGCAGCAGCAGCGGCGGCGGCGGCATCGACTCCAAGACCACCAAGGACGAGCCCAAGCCAGCAGACCCCTGGCAGGCAGCAGCTGAAGCGGCCAGGACCGCGGACGCCAAGCCGGGGGCCGACTGGAGTACGGACACATGGAGTGAGTGGCGCCAGGACACATGGGATGAGAAGGACCAGTCGTGGAAAAAAATCGACGACTGGGGATGGAGTGACTGGCGCCGCAGTGGTGGTGGTGGTTGGTCTGAGCACACGAAAGGCGACTACTCAGACCCCCCAGCCTGGCCAGGCTGGACACACTACAGGCAGTGGCGTAAGGCAATCAGCAGATGGAATAAGAATACCGACGTGCCGGTGTGGCGTAGGTCGGAAAAGTTTCTACGGCTGTTCGACTATCCTATGCAGGTGCAGTTTGACGATCTTCCCGAGTCAACGTTGTCGACTAACGGCTGGCTCGAAGCAGTGTTGAAGCGCACGGATCTCATGATCGGAAAACGCGAAGGAGACGATCTTAGACGTGCCGGCCGTCACGCATTGTTCGAGGCCGCCCCTGAGCACAAAGAGAGCCTGACTCAGTACGTGGCCCGACGTGAGCGTCAGTTCCTGGAAGCAGAGGCGCACGACCTGGCACTGCCTGCTCGAGTCAAGGGGTTTCTTCTAGAAGAAGGCGCGGGTCTGTCGGCCCAGGGACTCCAGAACCTCAAGACCATGACTCACGGCAAGGTGGAGCTCGACAGCGTGAGCTGGGCCCGTTAACCTGCTCGCGCGCGGCCAGGCGCCGCCGACGGTCGCGGCGTACTTTGCTGGTGCCTCGCTGGTGGCTCTCCCAAAGAATGACGGCGGCCTGCGCCCGGTGGCCGTCGGCGAGACACTCCGCCGCCTGGTGGGCAAGTGCCTCTGCAAGGAGGTCGCCGAGGCTGCCCGCGACCGCTTGGCGCCCCTCCAGGTCGGCGTGGCTGTCCCGGGAGGCGCGGAAGCGGCCGTCCACGCGGCCAGGCAGTGGTTCACGCGCAACCAGGGCGACAGGGACAAAGCCTTCGTGAAGCTGGACCTCTCGAACGCGTTCAACACCTTGGACCGGAGAGCTATCCTGAGAGCTGTACACGAGGACTTTCCAGCGCTGGCACCGTGGGCGGACTGGTGCTACGGCAGCCCCTCGCATCTCTTCCTCGGCAAGCAGACGGTTCGCTCCGAGTGCGGGGTCCAGCAGGGCGACCCGCTGGGCCCGCTGCTCTTCTCCCTGGCGCTCCAACGCTGCGCGGAGACGGCGCGCCGCAGCCTCCAGGAGCTCGCGCAGGACGCCGGCCTGGACCTCGTCTTCTTCTACTTGGATGACGGCTGCGTGGCGGGCGACAGACAGGCCGTGGCCCGCTTCCTGCACCTCGTAGTGGCCGAGCTCGCAGCAGTTGGCCTCAACCTCAGCACGGGGCCAGGCAAGTGCGAGGTGGTTCCTACGGCGGGGCCAGACAGCAACGCGTCCGCGGCCGACTTCCCGCCCGGCTTCCGACTGCGCGACGACGGATGCTTTGAGCTTCTCGGCGCGCCTATCGGGGGCGACGAGTTCTACCGCCAGCACACGCAGAAACGGGTCAACAAGGCAGCGGAGCTCCTGGACGCGCTGGCAGGCTTGGAGAACGCGCAGGTTGCTTTGCACCTTCTCAGGCAGTGTGCCTCCTACTGCAAGCTCGGCTACTCGGCGCGCGTGGTGCCTCCCTCCGCCCACGCAGAGGCCCTCCTGGAGATGGGCGCCGCCGTCCGCTCTTGCTTGGAGCAGCTGGCTTGCGCCTCGCTCGCCGACGACTCCTGGGCCCAGGCGCAGCTCAAGCTGAACAATGGCGGCCTGGGGCTGCGCTCCGCCGAGAAGCACTCGCCGGCCGCCTACCTCTCCTCGCGCGCCAAGAGCAGCGAGCTCTGCCGGTCCATGTACGCGGGCTACGCAGACGACGACGCGGGCGACGCAGGGGCCCTGGCCACGGCGCTCCAGTTCCACAACGCCAGCGTGGCGGAGGCAGACCGCGCCCCGCGCTTCGACACCGAGACGCACTCCAACCAGAAGAATCTCTCGGACAAGGTCGACGACGCCTCACGCGCCGCCCTCTGGAGCCGCTCCTCGCCCGCGACGCGCGCCCACCTCGCCCTGGTGGCCGCGCCCGGCGCCGGCGCGCACCTGCAGGCGCCCCCCTGCGAGGCTCTCGGCACGGCGGTCTCTCGCGGCCTGATGCAGATCGGGATCAAGCGGCGGCTCAGGGTCCAGCTGATGGACGAGGAGGCGTTCTGCCCGGCGCGCGGGGAGGTCATGGACGTGCACTGTGACCACGCCTTGACGTGTGCCTGCCAGGGCGACCGCACGCGCCGCCACAACAAGCTCCGCAACGGCGCCTTCTTTGACGCCCAGGCGGCTGGCTTCTCTGGGGCGGAGCTGGAGCGGCCCGGACTGCTGCCACCGCGGGCGCCGGGCGAGGGGCCGAGCGCGGAGGAGCTGCACGGCGACGGCCTGGACAACGACGGGCGCCGCCCGGCGGACGTTTACGTCCCCCGGTGGCGCGGCGGGCTCCCGGCCGCCATGGACTTCGCGGTCACGTCAGGCCTGCGCGCCGACCTCCTGGCGCAGTCCGCTGCGGACCCAGGCGCTGCCAACACCGGGTACGAAGAACAGAAGAGGCAGCACCAGGGCACGGCGCAGGCCTGCCGGGACGCCGACGTCGTCTTCATCCCGATGGTGGTGGAGGCGCACGGCGGGAGCTGGGGCGGCGAGGCGAGGCGCGCCTTCGCCGCGCTGGCCAAGCGCGTGGCCGACGCGCGCGGGGAGGAGGCCGCCGGCGTGGCGGACAGGATGGCCCAGCGACGCTCCGTCTCCCTCCACAGGGAGAACGCGCGGGCCATTCTGGCGCGGCTGCAGCAGCAGCGGCCTGGGGCGACCGCGGCCCGCCTAGCTGCGGCGGTGGCGGTGCAGGCGGCGGCGGCGGCCGTCGCGCGAGGCGCCGAGGAGGGCGACGAGGCGAAGGAGGAAGAGGACGAGGACGAGGACGAGACCACGAGGAGGTGACTGAGGAGCGCTGAGGGAGCCCAGAGGAGGCAGGAAGAGGAGGAGGAGGAGGAGGGGGAGGAGGAGGAGGAGGAGGCGGAGGAGAGCGAGGCGAGAAGTGAGGAGGACGGCGGCGAGGAGAGGCGCGGCAAGGATGCGACTGGCCGTGCTACGGGAACGCGGCCGCGAGGCCGGGAGACGGCGGCGCCCCCAGTCGCCGGGGGTGTCCCCGAGGCGGCCCAGAGGAGGGGACCAGAGGGGGCGGAGGAGTGCGAGGCAGGCCCGAGGGCGAGGGAGAGGAGGGCGAGGAGGCGGAGGAGGTGGAGCAGGAGGGCGGGGAGGAGGGGGGGGGGGCGGCGTAGGAGGGCGAGGGCGCGGAGGAGGCAGAGGCCGGCGCAGGAGGAGGCCCAGGACACAGGACGAGGACAGAGACGAGAGGGGAGACGTCGTCTGCGACGAGCAGCGCGCGGCCACCAGCACCGTCGCCAAGAACGTGCTGCAGTGCACGAGCTTCTGCACAGGCCCCAAATTTGTCCAGTGGGCCGACCCGAAAGTCTTGGCGGATGGCGCCTCCTGCCGCTGTTACGAAGAGAACCAGTGCGAGATGATTCGGGCAGCAGCCATCTTGGACTACCACCAGCAGTACCTCGAGAGGGGCGGGCGCGGCGGCAGCCCCCAGAGTGCGGCGAAGGGGTGCACCGACGCGATCCGCTGTTACGGGTGAGGCCGCGCGCCTGAGGCTGCCCCTACGTTCTCGGGGTGCCAGGCACTGTGCGGAGCAAGCTCCCGCCGATGCGATGCAGCTTCCCTGCGCGAGATTCTGAGCTGGGCCCTGCGTCAGATGGACGCGTCGGGCTCTGAGCGGCTGCTACCCAGCAGCAGTAGAGGAGCGATGGCGGCCGCCGACGACAAAGGTCTCGGCGACCAACTAGGCAGCTCCTCCCCTCCTCCTCATCCCTCGTACCCGGTGGGTCGTGACGGTGATGTCTCGGACAGCGAGCTCTATCCAGACGATGACCAGGACGGAGATTTCGGGAGGA